ACTTTCTTCTTCCCAGCTGTTCCCTGTGAGCCTGGGGAAGTCGGACGGGCCTGGCAAGCAGCCTAACTTTGCTGTTGATGAGAGCTCTCCAGCAGAAGCGGTGTGTGGGCAGACAGGTAGTTTCATCATGGGGGAGGAGGAGGAGGAGGCATGCATCACCTTTTGTTTAAGCACAAGCATCTTTTTGGAATGCTATCCATTTTATCGGTTAGGGCTTGAACAACGAGCAGCCAGGAGAGGCTGGATATTGTAATTAACACAAGTGGAGGCAGGCTGCTGCATCTGCCCGCCTGCCTGGAGAGGAATAACCTGTTGAATTTGCTAGGAGCTATTGCTGTGAGGACAAGAGCTTCAGTTACGGGGAGTACAGCAGCTGCGAGTGGATGAAGTAGCTGCTTCAGAGCTATGCTGTGGGGAAGAGGCAGGGGCTTGGATATCGGACACTGGATGCCTGTTTGGGTTAGAGCCTTTGCTTTTGCCTTCTAAGCCTGGGGAAGAAGAATCCGCAGCCCCTTTGCTTTCGGTTGGGTCAGGCAAGGATGGCTGCACTCTCTCAGCACTTGAGGATCCTGCTGTGGAAGAACTGGCTGAGTGTCAAGAGGCAGCTGGTGAGTGTGAAATCAAAGTAGTAGAGCAGAGGGACCTGGAAATCACAGGAGCTGAGGAAGGTCACGGTGTTAAAATAGAAATATTTTGAAGGCTGGTGATAGAGGCGGAGGGAAGGATGGGAATGGGATGGAAGTGAAGGTGAGCCTTGCGTTGGAGCTCATGCATGACAGCTCAGGAGTCTAGACTGAGTACCACAGAGGCCACTGTTGTTTCCGGGGGGCAGTGGTCTGTGCAAACAAAATTATGCACAAACTGCTGGGCAGACCTGAATTAAGGCATTGCAAATCCAACACACCAAATAGTCTTTCTTTTCAAAAGATAAACCGTTGTCAGCCATCCCCAGAGAGGGTGGCGTTGCGTGGGCAGGCAAAGTCTGCTCAGCAGTGTTGTCCCAGGCTGGTTTCAGTACATAACTTTAGCAGGAGCATGCTGCAGTTCATGGACTTGGATTGCAACCTGTCTTCTTGCTAGTAATCCAAATGTGATGGGTTTTAAACTTTTTGGTTGAATGGAAGCCTTGGCAGGTGCAGAAAATGCTGACAGAAGATAAAGGGCATGATAGGAGGATGGAACGAAAGGCCTCATATCACTGCACGCTTCTGCGAGGTCTGGTGTCCTGCCTCATGGTTTGGGAGCCTGATTCAGAGAGGTGCTGAGCTCGTTTGACTCCTGGTGATCCTCCATAGGAGCTGTGGACATGCTGTGTGCTCCAGAATAGCATATCCTTTGCTGGTGCTGATTTCTGAGATGCAGAGGAACCCCAGTAAATTACCTCTAATTTCTCAAGAGAAACTGTAACGGCCTTGTTAAAAGCAGACGGCTGGGGTCTCTTTCAGCTCTCGTGTACCCCAAGTAAATTCTAACCTAAATCCAGCCTCTCCTTCTGATCACACAGTCTGATTGCTTTGATTCTGGTTTCTTGTGGAGTTGAAATATGAATTCTGTAGAATTGAAATATCAATTAAAATAAAAATCAGGCCACTACTGATTATTATATGGCAGGTATTTCCTCCAATCCTCCTTCTTTTCCCAAGTTTACTCCAAATTAGGAAGCTTGCTCCAAATTAGGGAGCTTGCTCAGACTGGAGAGGTTGTGAGGAGGTAACCCCATATCTCTGCTCCCAAACACATCCTGATTACTCTGTCTCCTGCATGTGTTTTTTAACCTGTGTAATCTGACTTTACTTACAGACCAGGCTTTTAGAAAGCTTATTTTTTTTTTTCAGCGTGCTTGTTTCTGCTTCTTAGTTTCCAGTAACCTGTGAGGGTGGTTCGTGCTGCTGCACTGGTGTCGGCTGTGCTCGCTGGGGCTCAGTGGTATGTCAGGGAATGGGCTTTCGCCAGGCACTCCATCCTCACCCCGCAGACTCCAGTGCTTTCCTGCTCTGTTTGTCAGCCTCTCCAGGGCTGGCAAACACATTTGCCTCTGCCTTTTGCTTCATACTTTTTCCTCTGTGAGCTCTCTGCAGAGCCCCTGGAGAGGCTCACCGGCACGGGGAGAGCTACAGCTTGCTCAAGTGTCTGTTGAAATCAGCTGAAGCTCTGCATCCATGGCCAGGGAGTGCCTCAATACAGGTTACTCCTGCTGAGAAAGGAATGGTTATGAGTTTAGGAGGCAGCCTTCTCGGGAGCCAGGTTTGGCCTGAGTTCCAAGAGGAACTGGAGAATCAGTGCCTCTTGCACTTGTTGCTTTCCATCTCTCACTCCTAGCAGCTTAGTTATTTAAACAGAGGCAGGAGGCAGAGAAAATGTGCCTGGGTCCAGGGATACTAAGTAAGGTCTTTTAGCAGTGAATTCTGCTTTCAGCAATGAAATAATCCAGCAACCAAAGGATTATGCAACCTACAGCACAGCGCTTAATATCCCACAAGCCAAATTGAGGTTGGTTATGGCTCTTCTCAAGTCACCATGTTCCACCTGCAATCAGTTTGGCCAGGGTGGTTGTCTTGTTTTTGTTAACTAGAAATGCTTGGGACAGTCGGAATGCTGTTGTGTTACAACTGATACACCCAGCTGCTATTAAATCCAATTAAGTCAAAGGACAGAGATACTAAGGGAAGAGTAAAAGCACCATTTTAGCTCTAAACAGGGAGCTACAAAGATTTCCCGGAGTAGAGGTAATCAGTATTTGTTTCTTCCCCCAAAAATATGACCAATCTCTTGCCCTTCCTTCAGGCAGCCTCTGACATACCAGTTTCTGTGCTGTTAGCCCATAGTTTTCCTTCAGCCTACGTGGTACGAAACAAGGAGGATACATTAATAATACCATTTGCACGTGAATTAATCAGAGTTAAACAGTGTGTTTTTGTTGACTGATTATAGGGAAAGCATGTGAGAGAAAAAAATTGTAAGAAGATGTGAGTTTCAGTGATGAATCTTGTTATAAATGGCAGTATATATAGATAAAAGACAGGAGGAGTACTGCCTGTAAAAGCTAAAATGTTGCCAAAAGCTGAAATCGGAGGAGTACCCTGTCTGAAGGGATGTGCAGGGAAGTGCCTTGTGGTTCAATGCCTGTCAGTTGCTTATTTTGGGGCATGAGTCTTGCTCCTGTTTTCATGGCTGTGTCATCTCGTCAGGGATGATAGGGATGGAGTTGCTGTAAAACAACCATCTTTAAGCTGAATTGCTCTCCAGGACTTGTTTGTCTGTCTGCTTGGTTTTATGTACCAGTAAATGTTACAGGAAATGAAAACACTGTTATGGGCTTGGAATTATTTTGGAAACACAGTTTTGGGTAGTATGTGCTGATCTGGAAAAAAAAAAGCAACACGACAATGGGAAATGGGATGATTTTGAAGACAGACGTCTTTGCAGTTTCAAAAATTGGCGTGAAGATATCACAGCAGTTTTGCAGCACAGAGTACTTTGAGCTGAACTGCGGATGGATGGAAAACTCTAATCTAGGAAGCATGGCAGCAAGCTAGCCACCAAGTGCAAAAGCAGTTGGTTATTTGAATAATTGTGTTTTCCTAGCTTACAAACCTCCAAGGGGTTTTAAGACTGACTTTGGCCTCCTACCTAGATTGCTTTATTACTCTAGGTGATTAGCAGGCTGTGTTTTCTTCATTCTTGTGTACTGAAATGGTCAGTCCTCATGTCAGAGGCAAGAGGTCTATAAATGTTCATGTTTTTTCCACTGTACTGGGCCAATTTTACATCATCTCAGCTCATCTCTATGGGCTGCTGCAGTCTGCACATGGAAAGGTGCCAGGGAGTTAGGTTGCTGGAGTCGGAAGCTCATACAGGGGATCCTGGTGATGGGTGTTCAAATGTGACTTGTCCAGCTGCCTGGTTACAGAACACAACACCATAAACCCCTTCCTACACCGTGCTTGAGCTCCACATCTTGTAAACGACTACTATGAAAATCCTTTCTTTCAGTTCTATTGTGAGGCTGAAGTAGTGTTTGTGAAGAACAGTGAAACTTTGGGGTGAAAAAATACTGTAGACATAAATTCTCTTGTCAAACACTTCAGTTTTGAGGTATAATCGAATCCAAGTCATCTTTACCCATCGTTTGAGCAGTGCCATTCACAGAAAGTGAACTAAACCTTTGCACTTCAGCTCTTTTATCTTGCGATCCTTGTGTCCAAATGTCTTGTACTCCTCAGCATGCTTCTACTACTACATAGCAGTGTCTCAAAGCTGTGTAAACACTGTCCCCCATAATTATCAGCCCAACTGAAACACAGGAAGGCTTGTGTTACTTTCAGGCCTGTTATTTGCTCTTTAAATCTTAGGTAGTTTTTCTTCCTGCATAGATAATACTCGAGGTTTAATAGTATGCATACCAAGACAGGCTTGATTTACAATGCATCCTATAACTCATTTAGGGTAGTACTTGCGCATTCCAGACAAGCTCGGAGACACATCAATACAACAAACGTAACCGATATATTTTCATTGCTGTTTTATAGGTATGGTCGTTCATTTTAATTTCCTGGCCTGTGGTTGTTTTCATAATCTTGGCCATTATCCGTCTCAAATTCCCTCCAGAACCACAGCCAAACTGTAAGTAACTGGTTTGTTTTATGTCTTTGGGATTTTAGCTCTCATTTCAGTGACTGATGTGTTAATTTGATGTGTTTTGTTACTTTTACAAATTTGGTTCCTTTGTAGCTTTCAGTGGAGATTTCTTGAGCTGCTGCATGCTGTAAATAAAATGTCTGTGTACCTCTGAGGTTGTTTCTGTTTAAAGTTGTTTTCTAATTATAAAACTAATTTGAAGAAAAGAAAAAGAAACCACCATAAAGAACTGTCTTATCAAAATGCACTTGGATGTTGCTGTTGTAGCCAGCAATACAACTTTACATGATAAATTGAGGGACGAGAGCAGCAGGGGGAGACCTTACTCAGTAAAATGAGTGAGAGCATAGGCTTCGAGTGGGATTATGAAGGTGAGGTGACAGACATGGGGTTGGTCAACATGAAAGGTTTTACTTTGTGTGCACTTAGGCAAAAAACACCTATTTAGGCAGCTTGTACTAAGGCTTAGCTGAAGAGTGGTCACTTGTTGGGCTCCTGTGACTTGATGGTGTATGTGAACTCCTAGCAAGTCAAAAAGCAGCAGTTTGGGTGGGTGAATGGGTGAAGAGTTTACACAAGGTCGTTTTCACTTGCAAGCCTTGCTTCCTGGAGAATGTGTCTACATCTCGGAGCATGGGTGTGCTTGGATCTGCTTTAAAAACTCACACTGATTTAGTGAGTCCTTGTCACCATCAGAAGCAGCATGCCCCCGCAAGTTTATCCAGTTGGAAGCCTTTTTGCCTTCTAGAGTTACTTTTGTGCTGCAGCACAAAGCTGTGCAGAGAGCTATTAGTGAGAGCCATCGTTTCCCGGCACAGGGTGGAAGTTAGCCCTCAAAAATTACCCTCACTAAAAGATTTGCAACGTCTGATTCATAGGAGAGACATCACCATGGATGGATGACCTGCGTCAGGCTGTCATTGGTTTGACAAGAACAAAGCCCTGGCACAGGCAGTGCTGGATTTTTATATCTGGGGCAAGGAGACTGATGCAGGGGAAAGGGAGGCAGACTCTCTCCACAGCAGTGAGTGCAAGCAGTTGGCTTTCAGAGTTTGTAGCTATCAGATGTGTAAAATGTGATTGCGAGGGATCTGTAGTTGATGGCGTGTGCGTGCGCTAGAAACATTAGCCCAGTGACCTGTGTGATTCTCTGATTAAAAACGTCTTTGTTTCTGTGTGATGTGTGAGGAAGGGCCACATTGTGACAGATCCTGGATATACAATTAGGATAGGCCTTGTCCCAGAGGGCTTGCAGCCTCATCTGACTACAGGTTTGTGTACCTCATGTCATAGGCAGGGATGGAAAGCCAGAGTAAGTGACTTTCTGAAAGTGTCACAGGAAGTCTTTAATGGAGAAGGACATCTTGGTGTGGTAGGGTGGTCTTTTAACCCCAAGCCCATGTGCTGTCGGCACAAGGCCTCTTTAGGCGTGTTACATATTTTAAGTTCTCCCAATTTCCCTTGAACCGGTTGGAGCAGGCAAGACAGGACACGTACTTTGTGAAAACCCTAGATTTTGCCAAGTGTGGAAATAGCACTCTTCCCATGCTGCTCCATTGGTTGTACTTCCTACCCCTGATAAATCAGATGAGTGTCAAGAGAGCCAGCTGGATGGTAAAATCTTTATTCTTTTACTCTGCATGGCTATTAGTTTGAATGTATATTTATTTGGAGCGTGTTTGCTCTGGATGGTTGCATCTCAATTAATGGATTGGAAGGAATGTTCTTAGGAACAGTGAGTAGCTCAATCAGTTGTGCTTTGCAGGAAAGGGGAAGATCAGGTGGTATCTTTAGACTAGTTCCCTTTTCTTCCACAGATTAATTCTATTTTGGGACAAGTCTAAGTATGTGAGTAGGTGTCCATCCCTTAGAAGTGCCTGATAGGAACTCTCTATTGTAAGAGAGGTTTTATGCTGGAAAATAATGGTTGTGGTGTATTCTTGTGATCCAGAAGTTCAGAGACCATCTAAGAATCCCGAGGGGATGGAGAAGAACGTTAACCAGAGCATCAAACAGCCAGTTTCTGCTGCTTTTCCAGTTTTAATAAGAATAGCCATTTGACAATTATCCTTTTTTCTTTCACAGCTGGTAAAGTGTATCAACTTTCTGCTTGAAAAGCAAAAGAGAAATCGTTTGGGAACTTTTTTGCTGGTAAAAAAAAAGGGCAGGTGGACACATCTAGGAAAACTATTACAGTAGGTTTTTTTTGTTCATTTTGAACAGGAATAAAATCCACTTTATGATGGGTTCCAATGCCTGCCTTAAAAGACACAATTGTTAAGCAGTGACAAGAAGATTTTTCCAGTCTGTTATGAAGATGTTACTGCAGGTAGACGAAAGTCAGGAAGCTCAGAATCAATGGCACAGAGATAGAATAAGCTACTTGGGCACAGAGTTTTGAAGCTTTAGAGATAACCCCCGCAGAAGATCTCAATCTGTAAGCTTATCTTCTGTATTCAGGGCCACAGAAACATCATGAAATCTATTATTTGCTCAATTAAAACTGCTGAAATTCGAGTCAGTAAGTTCTTCTGAAGGTTGTCTAATACACATTCAATAGATTGAGCATTATGTAGAGAAAATTACCTAGCAAATAGCAGTCAAGAATGAACAAGCACCAAGAGCTTCCTGCAAGAGCAAGTTGCTTACTTTGAATTATGTTGTGTATCAAGTAATGCAATGGGAGCTTGTGCCAGGCCGAACTCTGAAGGGAAATGACATGCCAAATAAATGTCACCAGTAAAGAGGATGCTCATAGGAAAACTAAATACTGAGGAGAACAAGGAGCTGAGATTCATCTGATATATAATTTTCTTTACAACTAAAGCATCTAGTATCTAAGAGGAAAAAAACCCCGCCTCTATTCTTTCTTCCAGGCATCTGTTTGATGATGTATTTCCCGGTCAGCAGAGATTATTGTCGGGAGAAATGAAAAAGAGATTTCTCTTTCTCTGCATACTCGGTTCCTGTGATGATCTGCGAGTCTAACTACACAAAATCCCTGTCCAACTTCCTATGCACATTGCAGTTGTGACTTTTGACCTTTCTGTTACAGCCCTTGTGTTTGCTAGAAGGTATTGGGTTGTGTTTTTTGGAATGGGAAGCTCTGGATTGGAAGCCTGCAGCGTGAACACTGGGTTTGATGGTATCTGCTAGATCTTTGTGCCTGTATCACCTGTTTTCTAGAGTGGGTAGGGACAAAAGTCCCTTTTCCATCATTGCAGGTTTTTGCAAGGTATGAGAATTGCGCATGAGATACAATCTGTCCCTCAGGGCTCAACCCACTCAGTCTGCAGAGAAGCCCAATTACACTCCTTGCTTTAACGAGCACTGTCACACCCTGTCACGCCCTCCCCACCCGCTTTCTTCCTTCTCTGTTCTTCTCTCCCCTCCTGTCAGTTTGACCTCATCCTTGTTCTCCGTAGAAGCTCTCTTGGGTGAGGTTAGTCATCCACTCATTCAGACACCCTGCTCCTTAGTGCTTTGCAGAAGATGTGGTAGGAACCTTGGTCTCCTGCTAGATCCAGGGCTCTGCTCCCCCAGCTTTCCTCTCAGATTTCCTCACCTCCGTGGAAATGCTTGCAGGGTGTATTGCATTCACTTGGAGATCTTCGTGATGGACTCAGTAGCAGTGCTCCACAAGGATGCTCTTTGCAGCCAATATTTTGGGGGAATATCGTACTAGTTGAGCACTAGACTGTTTGCCAGTACCAGCATAGCTGTGTAGGTCTAGTTTAGAGCCAGAGCTGCATGACACAACACTATGTAGGAGTGGACACTCATACTCTGCTCTCATTCTTGGCTCCTGGGAGAGGGCCCAGGATAGGAGGGTCTGTGACCTATACTCCATTCAGTCTTACTGTGATCAATAGCTAAGATTTGAGCAGGTCAAGAATTGGTTGGAAAAATCGGTAGGAATCACAGAGGGCAGTTCCGAGATGCCTTAGGAGAGAGGCTGTGGCTTCGTGTACCTGCATTCGGCGCTTTCCTGTGACTTCTGTGCTGAGCACTGTTACCGTGTCAGAGGTAACAGAGACACAGGTTACCCTGGTCAGGGCAGTGTCAGAAAAGGAGGCAGGATGCTCCGTATAGCTGAGAAGTAAAGGATAAATGCAGACAGTGTCCCCTTTCCCATACCAGCAGGAAAGAGGATAAGGCAGCTGGTTGTGACGGATGCAAGGTGTCTGTCCTGCCAAGCACATGGCAGGCAGCGCCTCTCGCCCTCTGTCCTTGTCACCCATGTGTCTGTGCCCCTCTGGCTTTGCAGCAGTGTGCTGGTAGATGAGTTCAGGGGGCTCCTGCCCTCCGAATCTGCATAACTAAAGACCTTAAATGGCTTTTAGCTCTGACAGTTTCCTGTCTCTATCCCAGCATGTTGCTCTGAGGCAGAAACCCTTAAACTAGCTTTGTCCCACATGTAACAGAAAGACCTTGAGCTGGGCTAGTTCTCAGTGTGAGTGATGGCCATGGCTTCCAGGACACATGTGAAGACAGATGGCATGGGGCAAGGTGGGCCACAGCACCATCCTTCCTCTGGGGTACTGTCCTGGAGATGAGAAAGCTCTGAAAAGATGGTTGCACTTGAAAGGAATTTACTTCATAGTTGGAGGGACCTGAACTCATCTCATTTCCCAGTAGTGTGGAAAAATTAATAGGTTCCCATGCTAATTACAGGGAGTTGAGATGGTGGCTGAGCTACACAGGCCACTCCATTCATGTGGATAAGTCATGGGTACTTACGCAAGGCATAACCGACCTCAAGGGTTCAACCCACTCTGGGTACAGACAAGCACACATCAGACTTCCAGCTCTCCTTCATCTGCCTGTGGTGGAGCAGCCCCAGTTCTTGTTCATTGCTTCATTTTCCTCCCACCTTTTTTTTTTTTTTTATTTTTTTATTTTTCTCCCCTCTTCTAGGCAACCCAACACCAGATTTTTGTCTGTGCTCAGCTGCGACGCGATTAGCAAAATAACCTCATGAAGTA